GGCTGGGAGGAATCTGCCCCGACCTGCCGAGGGAACCCTGCGTGCCCTGGCACTGCTGGGAACGCTCCTCCTCTAGGCTTTGGTAGCCCTCGCTGTGCAGGTAGGCATCGTCCCACCTCCCTTGGGCTTCTGGCAGCAAAGCCTGGTGGTCACGTTCTGCTCCAGGGCTGGTGGCTCTTCCTCTGAGGTTGGCTGAAGTGATGGTCATTTGTCACAACAACCACCTCTAGCAGGCAGAGGGTTGACAGTGACTCAACTTGGCTCTTGAGAGACCCCCCCACCTCGGGTACTGTGTCCAGCTGAGGCCCCCAGGTTAAAAAAAGACATGGATCTGCTTGAGCTGGTCCAGAGGAGGGCCATCAAGATGATTTGGGGGTCAGAGCACCTACCTCCTGAGGGCAGGCTGAGAGAGTTGGGGTTGTTCAACCTGGAGAAGTCTCTGGGGAGACTTTATGCTATAAGGTCTTCTGTTACTCAGAGGGAGCCTACAGGAAAAATGAGGAGGGGCTCCTTATCAGACAGTGGAATGATAGGATGAGGGGTAGCAGTTTTAAACTGAAAGAGGGTAGATTTTGATTAGATACAAGGAAGAAATCCTTCCCTGTGAGGGTGGTGACACACTGGAACAGGTTGCCCAAACAGTTTGTGGATGCCCCCTCCCTGGAAGTGCTTAAGGCCAGGTTGGGTGGGGCTTTGAGCAACATGGCCTGGTGGAAAGTGTCCCTGCCCATGGCAGGGGGTTGGACTAGATGACCTTGAAAGGTCCTTGCAACCCAGAAGATTCTGTGGTTCCACAGTTCTATGACTCCACTGTGGAGCTGTGGTGTCCATGAGAGGGCAAGACAGGCCTGTGTTCCTACCAGCAGAAGCAGAGTGGGTAGTCCAGACACCAAACTGCTGCCTGATGTGTTTTGAGGTGCCTCAGCACAGCATTTGGGAACCCCTGGGACCCAAGATGTGGCTTTGCAGCACTGTGGGTGTCGAGGGAGCTGCATGATCTTGTGTCCCAGCAGCTCCTGGGTGCTGTGGCTCACTCAGACCACCTAGGACAGAGCCTCTGAAAACACTCCCAGTCATATAACTGCAAATTAAGGACAGGAACACTTAAAATGACTGTATTTTTGAAATTTTAATTTATTTTTTTATGTCAGCAGCACACTAACTGGGGACTGGAAAGCAGAGGTTAAGCAGGAGCTTCTGACAACCCCCCCTGAGCCCACCTGAGGCTTTCCCATTCACCACCTTCCCCATCCCATTAAGCAGCAGCCGCAGCTTTGCCGTTGTCAGTGGGCTTAATCCTGCTCCTGGCAGATGTCCTAAATAATGCTTCCCAGGTCTCCCCAGCACGAGACAAAGCTCAGGGCCTTACAAGGACATGGCACGTTGGGGAAGGATTTTTCAGAGGGTGGTCAGAAGAGCAGCATCATTTCATCCGATTCCGACTTCTTCAAGCCTGTCCCGATTTGGAAGTGGGAAGATTGGATCAGAGGCAGTAAATCTCCTGACAGCAGAGGAAGAGGGGTTGCTGTTCTTTCTTTTCAAGTCAGCCTGGTAATGGGACTTGGCAGGGATCTGCAAGGACGTTGCTGACCCTGCGTGGTCTTCCTTTGTGTGGGGCCTGCAAGAGGTGGCTGTGCTGCTCCCCAAAGGGGACCTCCTGAGCTTCCTGCTGTCTTCCCCTCGGGCCACAGAGGGGAGGAAGGAGCACATCCGTGCAAGAGCTAAGCTGGAGCTCCCTTCTCTACCTGTCCAGCACCACCCCTTTGGCACCCTGATCCTCTGTTGCTGCTGTGGTGGCAGTTGGTCTGTCCCCGTTGTCTGACCCTGCTGTGCTGGTGGTGGCAGGCTGGGGAAGAGGCTGTTGTGAAAAGCCATGAAACTGGGTGGTTTTCCACCTGCCTGCAAACACACTCACCTTGAGATAAGAGAGGTGACATGAGAAGGATGGTGCTGTGGAGAGCTTTGGAACAGCTCCTGCAGAGCTCTTGGAAACACTAGTTGTTTTTTTTGGGGGGGTTGTTGGGTCACTCTGCCCGTGCTGCTGGCTGTGTGATCTCAAGGCAAGACATTTAATCTCTTCTTTTCCCTTGTCAGTTAAGCTGGAAGCATCCAGCCCAACTTGACAGTGAATGGTGGGGATTAGTGAGTTTGTTTGCTGGCTGCTGGAGAAATCTAAAGCATGAAATTAGTGTTTACAAGGCGTTTGCTGCAGCTTAGCAAAGAAAGAAGCATCTTTCATCATCCCCAGCTCTGCAGCCTCCTCAGGGGAGGTTCTTGGCACTTGGGGGTGAGGAGGATGAGGGAGCATGGCACGTGCCTTTGGAGTGCTGAGAGAAGTGGAGGGAAACAGGAGATGAGAGCCCTGAGGTAGGAATGCTGCTTTGTGCCCCCAGAGCCACGGGTTTGGTTACAGATCCCATTTGTTCCTCCCCCTGTGCTGCTGGCGAGACCTGGGAAGCTGAAGGGCTTATTATTCAGCAGTGCCCTCAAAGTGCTCATGATTTCTCTTGGAGGAATCCAGGAATTTGCTCTGGTTTGAGCTGTGCAGCACATCCCTTCCCCCTTCCCTGGGTCCGCTGTGCTGCCTGGCAGCTGCTCTAAACCCCAGAGTGCTTCGTGGCTCTGGATGCATCTAATTAGGTAAGAGCTTGGGATGTTATTTGCACAGAAATATTCCTCCAGGACACGCTCCAAGGCTGGGGTTTGCTGACTCAAGATGGTGGTTCAACAGGGAGAGTCAGAGTCTTGCCTCTGCTTCCATCCCGTGGACTTGGGTGTTGTCAGGAGAGGAGCCTGAGCAGAGCTGGGTGAAAGGAGGCTGAGATCAGGGCAAAAAAATAACTTCCCCTGAGCCTGTGAGGCTGTGCTGCTTGTGTGTTGGCACAGAGAACGTGCCCAGAGCCACAGGGGTGCCACGTGAGAGAGCAGCCTGTGGGAATGCTCCTGTTTGGAGTGATGGAGAGCAGCATGGTCCTGCTTGGCTTGTGTGGAGAGGGAGCTGGAAAATGCAGCAGCAGAGAGGAACAGAATCAGCTGTGATCCCTGGGGCCTCATCCTCATCTCGGATAAAAGCTGAGAGTCTGCAGTCCTGCATTAGTGGAAAAAATCTATTCCCTTGCTGCTTGGTAGCTCCACTGTTAGTCACCTCTCGACCTTCACGTCCTCTCTGCTGGCATCTGTTTGCTCAGGCAGATTTGCCTTGGTTTCCCCAAATGCCTTGGAGCAGGGTGGATGTGGAGTTTTATCTGTCAAAAAATGCTCTCCCAGCCCAAGCCACCGAGGGGGGTCTTTGAGTTTCCAGCTGCACCACTCCCATGAAAAGTGAGGGCATTCCAAATGAAGGTCAGGAATGTTCAGAGGGCAGTTGATACATCAGCTTTGCTGTCATTCTCCTGCCTTCTCAAGCTAGGATTTTCTTGAAAAGGTAAAAAAAACCCATGCGGTAAGGTTAAAAAAAGAAAAAAAACTTATTTATGGGGGAAAAAAAAACATCTCCCAGTGGATACCAGTCATAAAGACAAAAAAGGCACTTTCACATCAAAGGCTGAAGCCTTTTCTAGGTTGCCCTGCACCATCAGGGATGCAGGAAAAGGCAAGAAAATCCAAAGAAGAGGGGCTCCTGCAGCTCCTCTCCACGGGCATGCAGCTGAGGATTTGTTGTCTTGCATGATGCCAGCGTAGCCCCTTTGGGGTGGGGCACACACAACCCCCCCAGCTAACCTGAGTTGTGTTTCTGGGTCAGTCGCCCGAGTTTTGGCACCTCTCTCTTGGGCCACTGGAGCCTAAAACTGACCCTAAATGTCCCTGGGCTGTGGAGCCAGCTGCCAGGCACGCCGAGCTGCTGAGTGAGGTGGTTTTGGTGACAGATGTGAGATCCTTGGCAGGAAGGGGCTGTGATCAGTTTAGCTGTGATGCTGTTTTCACACGTTATAACCACACCGAAGGCATAACTAACTCCTTCCTCTAGTTCTCCCCCTCTGCTGAAAAGCTGCTTTCATCTTCTGCTCCTCTAAGGGAGGCAGCTGGTTGATGGGATCTCCTGGAGGGATCCAGGGGAGCAGGTGAAATGCCACAATGTGCCTGGGTTGGTCACTGCTGGGGCTCCTCTCTGCACCCCAAGTGCCTTGTGTTCAGGCAAGCTGCCTTGCTGTGAAGACCACCCATAGCAGACAAGGACAGAGGTGCAGTTTAAGACCTTCTGTGTCACCCCAAATCCTGGGCTGCCCTCAGATCCCTCCTGCTGGTGCAGGGAGGTCTGTCTGAGGACCCCCACAGGAGGGAGAGCTCTAGGGCAGGCGGCTCTCTCTTGAGGGATCTGCCTCTCCCTCCTCCTCCTCCTCCTGCTGGCCCTGGAGGGGCAATTTTGGGATGGTGGGGTGCACCCTTCAGTGCAGTGGTGGAGGGTGCTGGTCAGAACGTGGCCCTGGGGACTCTGCAGCCTTTAATTGTGAGAGCAGAAGCCGTGGGTAACGAGAGAAGAGAATGACATTTTAATTTCCTGGTCACCACCCCTTTGGGACTTGCTTTCTTTTTTTAATTGCCATTTCCCTTGGATTTCTTTGTCCCTTAACAACCCCAAACCTGCTTTGCCAAAGAGTTTTTTTTCATCAAGGGTGTTAAATCTTGACTTGCTGTCCCAAAAACCTGCGTGTGGTGGCATTGGGGCAATTTTCTACACCTCACTTGTCTCTTTTTTTTGTGCTTTTTCATTTCAGAGACTTTGATTCTCTCTCCAAGGATGATATCTATGAGAACAACCGCCTGGTAAGTCCCCAGTGTGCAGCACACAGGAGGAAGAAGGGACATGAGAGTGACTCCATGGGAGGTCACAGAGTGTGGGAGGACTTGGTGAGGATGGTGAGGGTGTAAGAAAAATCTGTGCTTTTAAGTACCAGGCAGGAGCTTCTCTGGAACATAAGGGATCTACACCACCGCTTCCAGCCTGTACTGGAGAGAAGATAAGATAGTTATCCTGATAGTTGCCAAGACAACATCTCAGGTGAAGATTAAAACCATCTTCTTGACCCCAGCTGTTCCAGACTTGCAGGCAGTGGAAGCAGGAAGCTAGTTTTACTCCAGGCATAAGCAGGGAGGAAGGTCATGCTGCACGTAGGCTGGTCTGCAGTGCTCCCATCCTGCTTGGGATAGCTGGAGCCAACAGGAGAAGCAGGCAGGGGGGACTTGTCCAGCCCAAAGGGGACTAAGTGTAGGACAGAGCAGCAATAGCTTTGAGTTTTTTGCTGAAAGACCTAATTGCTGCAGGCTCTGACTGATAATCTGGCCATCACCTCTCCAAAATGAGTTGAGCTAGGTCATTTTTGGGATTAGGGCTCTCCAGCTGGGTCCTGGCCATGCCCTTTCCCAGACCAGTTGGCCCCTTTCAGCCTTTAGCAACTGTCTTTTCCCATTTGGGAGCAACACCTTTCTTGTCCCTAAGCCCAGCTTAGGGGTCTCCTTGCACCCTGCTGCTCACAGCCTTGTGTTCAGCCAGGCCCAGTCTTGAGAACCATCCAGGCTGAGCAGAGCTGGGTGTCCACAGTGGGCATTTCACACCCCAATTACTGCAAATACCCATTTTCCTTTATTTCTCCAGTCCTTGTCTTTAAACCCCACACCCTGCACAGCATCTCGTGCCCCAGAGACCGGGCACCTTCTGTCTTCACCCACACCCTGCAGCTGGTACCTCACCACTCAGTGCCCACACCACTCTCATCCACTCCTGCCTCATTTTCTCTCCAGTCCCTGCCATAGTCTTGCATCCCCCCTCCCTTGGAGATCCACAGGGGCACAGGCAGGTGTCATGACTTGGAGGAAAAGGCAGCTGCAGCATTTTCTTTTCGTTTCCTAGCTTCTGATGCCACCTTTCCAGTCCAGCAGTGTGTCTGGGAGCTCTGTCTGACAAGGACACGCTTCCTACTTCACCTTCCCCAGGGGCTTTCCAGCTTGATTCCTGTTATTTTTCCAGAGAGCATCAAATCCATAACACCTCTCTCTGCTCTTCCTGCAGGCTTTTGAGCTGGCAGAACGGGAGCTGGGCATCCCAGCCCTGCTAGATCCTCATGACATGGTCTCCATGCCAGTCCCCGACTGCCTCAGCGTCATGACCTACGTGTCTCAGTATTACAACCACTTCAACAACCCCAGCCAAGGTGAGTGTCCTCCCACTCCTCTGCCTCCCAGTTTGCCCCTGCTGGAGGATAGGAAAACCAGCATTACCCTGGGTTTGCTCCTTCTGTGTGTGATTGTGGGGAAGGGGAGCAGGTAGTCCCTCTCCTGGATTTGCTGGTGCCAGTGAGGAAGGCCTGGAATGAGGGTGAGGTTTCACAAAGCATGGAGTGTTTTAACAGCTCAGGATGCCAAGAGGAATGCCTCATTTCTCCTCCC